TACATATGAAAACTATGTTGTTATCTATTCCTAAGCAATCTATCATAACTCTTAAGCATCAGCTAAAAATTTTAATCTTCGAATCATGCGATCGAAATCCATCTTCGCGATCAGATTCAACATACTCTTCTTCTAAGCATCCTCTCCTTTTCCGATTCTACAAAACATCAAAATTCTACCAAGTCACATCAGGTAATAAGAATCTCCAAATAGGAACTTAATAGAGTTAGATAGTGGACTTTACATGAGGCATAGTCAAATTTTTTACTTTTACCATCCTAGTGAACTTTCAGGTAAATATGGCAGCTTCACAACCAATGCCCCTTCCTTTGGCAATAGAAACATATGGACTCTGTAGTAATGGTACATGGGGAAATCTCAGACTTAGCCTTTCTCTTTACCATTTGGTCAACCGGGTTGACTATGGCCGATCCCTTTCCATTGGGAAGAGAAGACTTTTCTGGAGATCCAATGTTTCCATTGTCAATGTCCATGAAGGTTTGGGAAGTAGATCTTCCAATCAAATTTTGCTTTACCAGTGCTCTAAATCATTGCTGATTCAGCAGCAACAAGCAAAATAGGTAAGATCGATAAGGGTCATGTCGTGGTCTGTCACATAGTAGTCCTTAATGAACTCACTATATGACTTGGAAAGTGATTGAAGAACCCAGTCAACAGTCAACTTCCTTGAGACTTTGACACCCAACTCTCCCAGCATGTCAATATGTGACTTCATCTCCAAGACGTGAGTGCATATAGATACTGCTTGCCAATAGGGATTGAGTGACCTTGAACTTTTCAAGAACTTGTGGGTTAGGGAGAATAATTGGAGGAGGTGGAGGAAATGAAGTATGATTGCAGTCCCATTAATGCACAATCAAGGGATAAATCTTTCACCTTGATCGCCATTTGGGATATCATGTTCATTAGGAAAGCTGTATCCAAAAGGATAAGGAAGACCATAGTTGTCATAAGTAGACACCTATGAGGGAGAAATTCAAGTTTAGTTGATTTAAGTCCTTAATATAACACCCAATATGAAATATTAAGGCT